ACCACTTGCCATTCTCGATGCTTTATATCCTGGGCCAAAGATTTCTGTCAAAGACTTCGAAACAAGAAAAGGTGAAATAGTTCTTACTGGTTTGCCGGGTGTGTCAGCGTGGATAACGTGGAATTGGGGAAAGAATACTCTCTGGTGACCAAAAAACTGGAATACTTCATCGGTGCGCCCTCTCTTCTGAGGGCGCACAGGGAGTGGGGGGAAGGAACAAGCCATAAGAAAAGGTTTATTTTCGGCAGCGGCGCCAGCCAACCACCATGGAGTCCTACAAGGGGACGCTGCAGGGTCTGTAAGCACAGGACCTGCAGACGCCAGCTGTACACCACCACTATAACCGAATATGGTGTATCCAAGGTAGGATAGCCACACAGGGTTAACCCTTGCCGCCAGGAAACACGGAAGTCAACGGAAGAGAGTAGAGGACAGGACAGATTTAAAGTAAGAGAAAAGACGAAGATGTGAGGGGGAGACAGGAAAGGGCGACTGCCGATTCCCCTTAAGCGGGTCAATCCGGGGGTGCCGTCTACGTGAAGCCAGGGCCAAAGGGGTGTGTTGCCTCTGCCAGGGGGCCTTAAAGGTCTAATCACCCAGCGTCGGCTCAACCCCCAGGATCCCCTTTTCCCCGGACATGGCAAAGTCACGCACGGCTAGGCGTGGGAGGGAGTCAAAACTCCCCCGTTAGCTCGGGTCCGTGGTGTCGCTACACACCAAACGCCTACTTGCGCAGGCGCCCCTGCGGGGAAGGTAACGGTGGCACCCACCTGGATTTTCAGAAGAAAAAAAATGCCTCAGCGCGGAGCAAGCCCCTGTGTAAACCCACTCCCCCACTCTAGTACATCCTAGTCAATACTTAAGAATATCAGTTGGAAATGCCGGTGCTGTCAATCATTTTGCGACAGCACGGGCACAGAATGGACGGAGGCCTAGTTCTGTCGATAGAACGGATACAAGACAGTCTCCAGATGACTTGAATTGGATTGAAACATAAGCGCTGGGGCCGTAGAGTTGAATTAGCTGGCTTTGTGTCTGACTTACCGTACCCTAATGCCACAGTGATAGTTTGCGAAAATCGCAATAAGCCCCCATTGCCTGAACGACTCAACAGTTTGCGACACCACATAGCATCTGTTGAAGACATTAATACAAAAAAAATATAGCAAAAGTCATCGCGTTCTTCAATTTCTAGCTTTGAACAAAATTCCTGCCAATCATGATGTTCAATTGTAATAACTCAATATTTCTTCATGCGCTGAAAACATTTCTGAATTCCCCCAGCTTACTTATAGGCTGTTTGCTCCCTCTCAGCCTCTCATGACATTTCGTTCCGTCAATGCCTCGGATCCGTGACAGAACGCTTATAAGATAGCGCCTCAGGAGAACGATCAAATAGCAATTCAAACTTGCAAGTGATGTGCTTTACATGCAGCACATTTTCAGATCATTTTCTTTACATTTCACATGATAACACTGTGCATGATTGTCAGCAAGACACATATCATCACTACTGGTGCACTCCACTTGCGTCTAACCTTAGTCTGGCACTCCTCGCCATCTCTCTACAGGTGGCCCTTTTACAGATTTCAACAGCAATACTGCTACACAGAAAGGGAGAAACATTAAGAGTTCAATATAGAGGCCAATACATATTAGAACATCAAAGTCGCATCAGTGATGATTACTGTGAGCTAAAGCAAAAGAAAGATACAGTCGACCCCACATATAACGACCCTACTTAAAACGAACTTTTGCTTAAAACAAACGATACCGGCGTGACCGTGGAAATATGCATTGCTTCAATGGCACAAAATCGCACTTACAAAGAACATCTCTGAGCACTGCCGATCGGTTACAGCGAATGAAGTCAGCGCTCCGGCAACTTCCTGAGAAACCACTTTCGACGACCTATAAGCCATAGACGTGATGCGCATAGATTCTTATTGTTAAAACGCGGACCTTGCCTCCACGACCCTCTTGTTGTTGCTCTACCCGACTATGTTTTGTTATGCACCCCCTCCGTCCTTTGTCATTATTCTACTCTGAGCACCCCACATCGCTAAACTGGGCCCGTCTTTTGACACTGCAACCGATCTTTCGTAAGACCGGTCGGCTGACTAGTCTCCCCTCAGTTTTCGATCGCCGATTTGTTACAATATCGTTTGCGTCACCCACTCACTGGTCTGGAGTGAACAGACCATTTGCCAAGATTGTCGGCCATTGCCTGTATGCCATTGTCTGCGTCTTGTCTGAATCGGTGTCGTATCTTTACAGTGCATGCGCTTGCGCTACCCCACTGACTGTGATAATTAGCGATTCGTTTCATGTTTAGGACCTGTTCTCGCTCATTTCGCACTTGGCTCAGCATGCCCTATGCACGTGTGTGGAAGTAAAAAAAACAGCTGTAACAGAGAAGGAATAGCGAATTATCGAAGTCGACAGGGCTGCGCTAGTCCGCCAGCGCCACAATGCGATACTTTGACCTATGTGCGCATACCACTCTCCCAAGTTTTCCTACATGCAAGTTGCGCGTTTCAAGCAAGCTACCCGACCTTTCTTCTTCCCACATTAGTATACCGTATTTACTCGCATAATCGGCGCACTCGCATAATAGGCGCACCCCTAGTTTGGTCGCGGAAAATTCGATTTTTTTAAATTTCGTGCATAATAGGCGCACCCCAAACTTGGCCGTGATCATAAATGATTCTACCCCCCAGCGGTACAGTTGGAACGCGATCCCCGTACCCTGAAGAAAAAAAGAAGGCAAATCGACGAGCAAATAAAAAAATTCGAAGTGCAACGACCTAACCAACGTGTTTGTCGAAATAAAACTTGAAAAAAAAAAAAAAAACGTCCATGAGTGAAAAAAAAACGGCTGTTTTATCAATTACTGATACCCCCCAAATCGCCGCGCTTTTTGGAGCTCACGTGTACAACGCCGGGGGCTCGATCGCCATCACCACCATCAGAGAAAAAGAAAGAAACGCCATTTTGCAAGCGGTGTGCGTATGTTGTGGTCGTGTATTGAACTTTGGTTCCACCATGGGGAAGTACGCGAGCTACACGGCTGGGTTTAAACTGAAGGCAGTGCAGTGCGCGCTGGAGCACGGCAACCGGGCTGCAAGCAGGCATTTCGCCGTTGGAGAAACCAGTATTCGGTACTGGAGGGACCAAGAAAAAAAACTTAAGGCGACGAAGAAGACACGACGGGCTTTCCGCGGTGCCAAGCTACAGCTACGACTTTTGTGTAAATAAATTTTACGTGTGTGTGTGTGTGCAGTTGACGGCTCTCGCTTGTTCATTAAAAGGTACGTAGGTATGTTTGTTTTATGCTGAATTAATTGGTAAACAATAAAGTCACCTTTTACTTGACAAGTGTGCAGATTTAAAGCGCGAGAACCGAGTTGAAAAAATTTTTGAAAATTTTACCCCGCGTAATTGGCGCACCCCTAACTTCGAGCCGGATTTTCTGAAAAAAAAAAAAAAAAAGTGCGCCTATTATGCAAGTAAATACGGTATATAGGTGGCTATTTATTAAAATAAGAAAAGAGGAAAGAGAAGACGCTTCTTTCTGTCTCCCGTATCGGGGACACGGCTAAGCGCCTTGTGGGGAAAGGAAGTGGGCTTAAAAGGGACAGTGAGAGAGGTGTTCGTTTTCAATGTCGCCTTCCAACCATATGCTTCCCTCTCCACTCTGTCAGAACTCCTTTGCTCTGCTCTCCTCTCTTCATCGCAAGTGCTTAGCCTGCCTCTACCGCTCCGCTACTCCAGCCACGCTGGCTGAATTAAGAAGTTTTGTTTCCCAACTAAAAACGGGTTTAAGCAGTTCCACACGTCCTGGCTTCCATGTCGTGCGTGCACGTCTTGCTCGCTGTTGGTGTGCGTGTGTGGTCAAGATGGTGGACGGAAGGCCTTCCGCGCCTTTTCCTGCTGCTCAACAAAATGTTGAAAGTGTGACAGCTTGGCTTGGGCATAATCCGCACGTCTAAGACTTATTATAGGTGCGTTGTGGAGCACTTGTGATCTGTTGACCACTCGGCAGCCAACTTGCCACTTCGGGTGTCTCGGTATTTAGCTGTGGAGATAGTGAAAGCTTCGTGGGCAGCAGTGACAGCTATATGTGTGTGAAAATTTTCTCGTGGGCCCGACTTCGTCGACGTTGGACCCGGTGCCGAGCCTGAAGCTTCCGAACAGGACCACTCCGGCAGTGATTTGTGGCAGCGTGTTGTTGACTCTGACATGGGAGGGCAGGAGAGACATCTGCTGCGATTATTTAATTAAGCCGACACTGTGGAACCGAGCATGAATGAGGGCATTGTGAAAGAAGTGGGGCAAGAACGATTCGAAAGAATTGGATTACGAGAATGACGTAACTTTGGAGCTAGTGCCCACAAGCATGCTTGTAGTAACTAGCTGCATTAACAGCCTCAGGCCTCGGAGAAGAGCACACTGCCTCTTTAAATAATCTCCAAGACCATCCTTATGGCTTCTGCTCTTTGAAACCTTTTGGATAAAAAGAATTGCATTTTCACTTGCAACATTATTTTAAAGCTCTGTTTCATTTACTATGAACTTGAGGATACAGCGAAAGGATGCCACATCACGCTCAGGTTCGTTATAAGCGGGCTCGACTATGTGTTTTAATGTGCCGAAGCAACACATATCTTGAAAAGATGTAGTTAAAGGAGCTCTGAATAAATTTATATTGTGTAGGGTTCGATAGCATTTTGCATTCGGTCTTCATAAGATTTCAGCCACTGTAGTTTAGAAATTAACCCATCACTTTTAATTCGGCAACAGGTTTATGCAGGCACTTGGTCACTTCAATACTAGGTAGAAAAAAAAAAAGCTGAAAAATTGACACAAAACTAGAAAGAGCAGACATACACGCTTTGCTTCATAGATCAAGGCTTAACAGTGATGTGTTGATTGCAGTATGTGAATGGGGTGCTGCTTGCTGCAGAAGCCCTCAAGACTTGGGAACGGATGGGACTTACCCTAAAGAAGTGACCAAGGCCGCTAGCAGCTGCCAGTACCAGGAACATCATGGACCAAGAAGAAAGCAGCATCTTGCATCTCCTGCCCGACCAGGGTGAATGTCTGTAAATACGAAAATGAAAATTGTGTATTGAGGCAGCAGTCACATTGGTAGAAGAGTGTTTCTTTTTTTTTTTAACTGACATGGGCCAAGTGCTTCTGTCCGTATTGATAGAAAGGTTTTCTGTACAACCGTTGCATACACAGTGAAACCCCAATATACAAATCTGTAGGGGATTAGAAAACGAGTTTTATATATAAATAGGCAATTCTATAGATAAAGCATTTTACATATAAAAAGTACAGTCATGGGACAAGACAAAAGTGAGGCTCTTTCACATGTATATTCAAAACGTAATTTGTGCATTGTTCAAGCCCCTTCAAGCAAGAACCAAAACCAGCTTGCTAATCCAAGATAGGTTTGCCGAGTAAGTCATACCCAGGAGTCGTGTATAAGACACCATGTGCTGATTGTCAAGCACCAACGTGACATCACTAATAACAGTCACATGACAAACGCCATTGCTGAGCATGTGCATGAACATAATCACACCACTGACTGGGACCATGCTGCTGTCATCGCCAAGGACAAGAACGTGTCATCTCGTCAGCTCTTAGAATCTCTAATCATCCAGTCAACACTAGCTACAATAAATAGGACAACAGAAACCATCCCTGCTATCTATGCACGCTCGTTTCATCACCCACTGGCTACATAATTGACAACAACTTCTAGTCCAGCTCAGTGAAAAAGGAACCCGTACGTGGTTTCGAAACGTCAGATCATTAGACTTGATCAGTGATCATGTTTCATCTCATCCCCTGCCTGACCAGAACTTTCGCCGAACTCTTGACTTCATCCTTTGCACAGCAAATATAGATCACAACCAACTATCTAATATGAGTGTTTTGCGCAGAATGTAGACATTGCCACTACAATAATAACTTCTATTAAAACTTGAGATGCCCTCACGTTGAATATTTCACTGTAGAAGACCGCAAACACAGGCAGGGACGCTCCTACCACGAGAGAGGCGAGAGACACCAGGAAGAACCACCCACAGTCTGGCCTGGCCTTCTGCAAGATCTTGCGGGCAGATGGGAGTTCGACGTCCTCCTGCATGCATACCCATGTTCATGAGATCAACGATAAACTCTGCACAACCAGAACTGCAGCCTTCAACATTATCAATAGTCAATGAATGTCAATAGAGAAGCAACGAACAGAAAGTGAACACAGGGAAGGCACATAAAATACAAAGAATATAAAGAATACAAATTTGATAGCGTGGTATAATAAACATTTCAGTGCAGCACATTGATGCAGTGTAAATAAAGCCGTAATGTTGACAGAACAGTCTCAAAAGTCTCATTTCTGCTTAGTTAGCCATATCGCATCGAGTGCTTACCACATCAGATTGCAAACTGAATACATGCCTAACAGCTTCCATAACTGCATGACATGTGAGTGAGAAAAAGAAAAGGCACACAATATGTTGCACTACATCAAGCTGACTCGGAGAAAATGTAAAGAAGCACATCATGTTTCAAACGTCAAACATGTACAGCCGTGAGCAAAAGTATACGAACCATGACAGCGCATACCGAAATCGTCGATTGCACCATCTAGTGGCGAGTCGTCTGCTGTCAGGATCAGTGCTCTGGCGGAGTTGCTGTCAAGAGCACTGGTTTGGTGGAATTCAATCAGATGGCTTGCCACCATACGGCACAGATGGTAAATATATGCGGACAGCAGTTGTTCCTACACTTTTGCACACAAGTGTACTTTACAAAAGTGCTGGGTGCAGCAAAAATAAAACTAACTACGGTGCAGAAAAAGATGAGCAAGTGAGATTGGGAGCAACTGTGTTAATGTGCATTAACACAAATCCACAGTAATAAATAACCACAGAAAATAATGATGAGTTAAATTAGCAAATTTCTTTTTTTCCAGGATGAGACAGAAGCTTTCCAGGACGAGGCAGAAGGATAGATGGGAAATTCAAGAGAATGCCTGCCTTGATGAAGTCATCAGCGAGACGACTGCACTCTCGGTCAAACGGCGAGATGCTTTCCAGGAGCAAGGCCTTCCTGCGTCTTCGCAGCCGTTCTTCCTCGTCATCTTCGTCCTGTCTTGCTGGAAGAGACTCGGTATCAACTGGCTGCACATACAGTTTGAGAAAAAGGGCAGGTGGCAGCAGCAATGATGCAGGCCCATGGACAATGCTGAATAAGGTTAGTATCATAGAAATAACATAACCTCTTGTGTGGTAAAGATGCACAATAAGCAGTAGGGAAAAAAAAAAGCGGAGCCTTCCCACGACTGTGAAGATGGAAACCAACGAAGCTGTGACTACAGTGGATATGCTATAAAGATTACTGATACGTTGAGTTTATGACTATCGTTACTAACAATACTAAGGCCTTGGAGATCCTCGGGCATTCTCACAATATCCAGCCACTCCATATTTGCTAGTGACAACTGTACCAACATGGCTCCTAGACTAGACTGGCGAGGCAAAACAGGTATGGGAGGGCACCAGGGATCTTTACATCATGTCCTACGGAGGTTATTTACTCCTCTACCCCAACATTCAACATAGCCTTCATTGAAAGTGCTAATCCGACAATACACTCAAACCTCATTATAAAGAAGTTGCATCTTACACGAAAATAAGTTCATTAGGTACGTCTGCAAATTCGTTATAAAGGTATATTCCTAAGACTATAACTATTGCAAGACTATTCTACATTTACTTTGTTATAACTAATATTTCTTTGTTCGGTATAAACTTTTACAACAGATCCGCTTGCAACAGACATTCGGTTACTACAAACTAATTTACAACGTTATGCCGACTTTCCTATTCGTTCAATTGATTGAGCTTCATTTACTACAGATTCTGGTACAACGAACATTCAGATATAATTGACTAAAATGTGAGGCCAGCAAGATAGTCAGGACTCACTTACAGCAGACTTTTCTACCTCGGACATCCTAAACTCAATAACTTCTGGCTTCAATTACATCACTTGGCATATTTTTGGGATGGAAATAGGGCCGCGGATAGTGACGTACTGATTCAAGAACAAATGTCTCATATCGCCAGTCTGTTAATGATGAATTATACCTAGCTACGGCGACGAAAAATCGGCATGCTGCGTGCTTCATTTCACGTGCTAAGACGCTGACGCGCGAAATTGTTGGCCGCTGCCACTGCTGTTTCGAGCGTTCGGTGCTTGGCGAGCATGGCTGGGGTCCGCTACCGATGCACAAGATCTACAGTTCTAAGGAGCCAGTGGCCGATGTGATTTGTTAATTGCGACGAAACACATCACTTCACTTTTGCATATCCACTAGCGCGACAGTCTTTCCTACCAAGTTCGGGGAGGAGTTAGGTCTAGCCACGACTTCGAGTAGAACGTGCGGCTGCGATGTGCATGGCCGCGGTGCTCGATGTTTCAAAGTACGTCATGTTCGATCGCAAGTACAAAGATAAGTCCCGTGGTGGTCTTGATCGCAAGGTCTGAAGCGCTGATAAGCAGAACTTTCTTGCCAATGAGTCAACGCTATGACAATCGGCTCGAGACGTGTGCGTGCAATGTTCGCAACGAGCGAGGCGTGCGATCGTAATCTGAAAACTGAAGTTCCACTCGCAGCTGGTTTAACAACCCATGAACACAGAATGAGCACAAAAATGTCCCCGAGAAGTACGATTTTAGACAACCACGGCCTCGTGACATACAAGAAGCAAACGACACTATCCCGGCGGCGTATCCGGAACGAGCATCGGACGAACGAGGCGTACTGGAGAAATAGGACAGAAGCAGCCAACTGAAATCCTCCAAATTAATTTCAAACGTCTGCTTTTTTAACACGGAATGCTCTTTATAAAACACTTTTGCTACAAGTCTAGATTTGTGGTGGGCAGTTGTGCCATTGCGAAGCTATAAATTTTTGAAAACCGACATTTTTTTTATTTGTGAGTTCCAAGATGATTTTCACCACCTCGGCAGGCACAAAAACATTTTACAGCCCTTCTACGTAGTTTTTAGTGAAGATACTTTAGAATCAGATAAAAAAAAGGCTACAGACACAGAAGAATCATTTCCAAAAAAATCAACTTTTTTTTGCCCCATTGAAAATAAGTTTGATACGACTCATGATTCTCCCTGGTTATAACAAATCGATTCAGTATTTCCATAAACGTCTGTTCTATAAACTTGGCTTTCACATACTCCTTTTACAACAGACCAAAGTCCTTTTCGCTATGGAGGTCTGCTGTAATGAGGTTATACTGTATCTGGATTTGTTATTTCAACATTGGAGTGTATATATCAGCCGCTGAGAACTGTTGTTCTACAAGTTGTTTTGTGGCCATGTCGTGCATCAATTTGTCTGGGATGTGACCTTCCAGAAGCTAGTCACATACAGCTTTGCTGTAAAAAACATTAAGGAAAGTAATGCTTGCTCAAAGTCAAAGCACATAAACTGAAGCTGATTTACCAGCTGCAAATATGAAATTACGGTGAAAGCGTGCAGAGGAAGTAGTAGTCGTGCGGCGGATTCATGGACAAAACACATTTCAGCTACCAAGCCTACTACGACTGCCATAATCAAAGCTAACAATCTATGCAAAGTTGACTGAGCTACACTGAGCATTGCAGCCTGCTTTAAAACACACACATTTTTTTCACTTTACTGGGGCTCACTTATAAGCCAAGAAACTGGTAATTACTATCATACATTTGTTTGATTATGTCACCATTAGGCTGAAATAACATGAGAACAAGTAATGATAGTGGCTATATCAAGCTTCTCCAGTAGGAAACAATCACAAAGAGATAAGAAAACAAAGAGGGAGGATGCAAGCACACCACTAGTACCAATAACAAAAAGCTTTTGGTGTCAAACATGCACTCTGTATTTGCTTACTTAACTTCTTCAATAGTTCCAGTTTAAATCAGTTCATAATTCATAATGACATTAGAAGAGTAAAATCTCGGCAAACAAGTTAGTACTTAACAGTATTGCAGCTAAATGGAACAACCATCTCCAACATAATCACTTTTGTATTTTAGCAAGGTGAAAAATCTTTAGTTGATAAGAGCTGAAACTATATCTAAGATGGGAACGTACTACAGTCGACTCTCATTAATTCAAACTCGAAGGGACCTCTGAATTTTGTCTGAACTACTCAATAAATTTGAATTATCAAAAGTTCTCAGATAGATAATTCTGGGTGAGGTGACACCACACATTATGATTAAGCATTGATTTTATCAACATTTAAAAATTTTGAAGTGTTTTTAAACCTTAACTGCATGCAATGAAGAGAAAAAAGAGGTGTAAGGTCCACAAGTTTATCAGCCATTTACTGCTAATCAGATCTTTTAAAGAAATTGGGAATCGCCAACAACTATGCTATAGGTACGTGCCTTCAGCACAAAGCTCTCTATACCAGTTCAGAAGCATCACGGTTTACCGTGTGTGTGCTTCGTTTCAAGCATTTGTTTACTAGCAAAGCCTTTTTCCTTGAAGGCCCAAGGTGCTTGTTTTTCATTTTCAGACTGTTAGAATTATATAAGTTTGCAAATTTTAAACAGCAGGGGAAAGCAGCAGATATTTTCTAGTGTGGAACTGCAAAGAGTATGTATTAATTGAATGATGTAGTTTGAATTAAGAGGCTTTTAAATACATTGAAAGAATAGAGGGCCAACCAAAAAAATTGAATTTGTTTGAATTAACCGAAAGTTTGAATTATCAGAGTTTGAATTATCGCGAGTCTACTGTACAAGGTGCCTAAAATAACCCAAGAAATGCCTCACATTAGAAACACTGTTTAGAACACAAAAAAGACGTACACATTGTACACTCGGAGTGAAATGTTATGAGAAAATGTTAAGTAAGAATAATTGCTGGAGCCAACATATTGACAAGATGACACATCTACACCAATCCCCAATAAAGAGAAACTTTTGTAGTCAAAACGTGAGCTCTAGTGACACTACTTGCTTAACAGCCTGTCACCTCTTCAAGACTTCATAGTCGGGTAAGCTTCTGTCAAGCTTGAAGCACACTGTCACACATTTCGCCTCTCTTTTTTTGTTGCCACCAGTTCACACTGTTTTCCAAGAACCTGAGTTATTAACAAGCCCATCGTTGAAGCTGCTACAGTGGCCTAGTGATCTTAATGGTGTTCTGGCAAAATGCAAAACTAAGCAAACAAGCTTACAGGCAGGAGGACGAGACACGGGTGGAGGTGGTGGAGCATCGGCATCTTCATTTTCTGTGAGCTGGCTGAGCATGAGCTGGAAGTAGAAGCCTTTTTTCGCCACCAGATCGTCGTGTTTGCCCTGCTCCACGATGTGGCCCTCGTCCATTACGTACACCATGTCTGCCTCTCGTAAGGTGGACAGACGCTGCGTCACGACCACCGTTGCGCGCCGGGGACTACCCTGCAAACGAACGGTCATTTATGATAATGTAACTGGCTGAATACATCCACACACCCGTAAATATCTCAGCCACTTCGCATGATATGACTTATTTGAAGGTCGCAGGCTCGGTCCCTGCCAGTGGTAAGTTGTCTTTTTGTTAGGGGTGCGTGAATATCCTAAATTTTCAATATTTTTCTAATAGTGTTTGCTATTCAATTCAATGCGCATCAAAATTTTATTATTTCAGCTTCCTGAAGACAAATACTATTCGTACTTCTTGAAGACGACTACAGTCAATCAATGTCCGATACACAGTAGCCCCTTCAAAATTTTATGCTTCGCCCCATCACATTTTTGTATTGCGGCAAAGCTGCCTTTTGGGCTCGGCTACGATAGCAAATGCATTGACTCCATCCAGAAAACGCTGGTTCCAACAAGAAGATGACAGATTTGACAATGGTGGGGGTTCATTAATGCTGTTTTGGACCTAAAAGTTAAGCAGGAAGTTCCGAAAAATCAGGCGCCAAAGATTTTTAACACCCAATATTTCAGATGTTTTATATATTGACCTCTAGGAAGCAGATTTAGAACTCCGGACTTGAAGGGAGCACACCATTGTCTGCCACATCAGTTGGGCTTCCACAGATGTTGAAAAAGGAGAACAGGCTGAGGAACAAGCACCTTTGCCTTTCACGTGTAAATTATTGTCGGCAACACTTTAGTTGCACCAAATCATGTACATAAACTTTAATCGGCCCCTGCATTGCCTCACTTCTTGGTGAGACAGCTATGAAACACACCCTTGCCGGCATCAACCTAGCCAAAAGAAAGACTTTCATGTTGCTATTTCGGTAAGATTGTGTTTAGGAATTCTCTAAAATTTTTTTTCTGCAATTTAGCTTCGAAGTATTAGAAAAATACTCAATTTGATTAGCACTTCAATACAGTAGACTCTCATTAAATGGAACCTGAAGGGACCAGAAGAATGTGTTCCATGTAACAGGAGTTTCGTTTGCTGAGAGATGGCCAGGGGTGCAGAATACTAGAATAAAACCAACCCCGTCAGAAGCACTCGTCCCATTTAAGCAAAAGTTCCGTATAACAGATTTTCGTTTACTGAGAGTCTATTGTATTTGAATTCGCTTCACACCCAAAATCTAGCTATTTACATAACTTTTCTTTCCACTTTTCTTTCTTAACATTGACATTCCAATTACTACTACTTATAACATTCCGTATACTTTCTTAGGCATCACTGCTTGTTAGTTCTTATTAATATTACATGTGTTAACGCAATGCCTCCCTTTGTTTAACACTCTATAGGTTTCTTTTTCAGAGCCGTTTTAAGCAGTTGCATCATACTGAGGTAAGACGCCTGCCTGCCATGCAGAAGGCCTAGGTTAGATTCAGACTCGAATCCATTATTTTCGTTCTTACATTCTATCGAGGTTCTGACCTCACCGCCAATGTCATTTTCGCTCATAGCCAACCATACTGACCCTCAATGCCCCCAGAATTTCCACGAAATGAGATATTAAAGTGTGGGCCAGTCTGCACAAGCTGCCTGCTAACTGGTTCCCACCTTGGCAATAGTGCGCAGAAGGTGGGCTTCGGACGCACCATCCAGTGCTCCTGTTGCATTGTCCAAAAGGAGAACCCGGGGAGTCTTGACCATTGCTCGAGCGATAGCCAACCTCTGACGCTGTCCTTCACTGAGCTGGCAACCTTGTTCCCCTATCTCGGTCTCGTAACCCTGGCCGAAAAACAAAATATGCTGCATGCTTAAATGTCATTGTTCAACCAGTGTCGCCTGTGACACTGTCCACGCAGATTAAAGGAACAATTTGAGCAGGGCCGTAAAGATCTAACACTAGAAGCGACATGCAACAACACGGAGTACCGCAGGGGTGGAACCACATTTCAGCTACCAAAGCAAACTTTGGATAATAGGCATAACAAACACATCTAAATATAAAAAATTTAGAACAAACTTGAGTTGTAAAAAAAAAGACAGCAAATAAATCATGCACCTTTAGTTGCATCTAGCAGAGCACAAGTTAAAAAGAAATGGTGGCTATTCATTGAAATAAAACCCAGTAAAACTGCAGTGCAAAAAGCAACTTTACTTATTCGAATTGTAACAGCCCCATGAGAAACTGAGGTTGCAATTGAATAAATTGTCAGACAAACATTAATGAGAACATCAGACCAAATCATTTATTATTGGCTTCACTGATGCTGAAGATTAACCTGCACATGAGATGTGCACGAAATTATGCAAAACGTTAAGTTCATATAATGAAAAAGGGTAGTCAGTGATATGTCTCAACATTCTTAGAGAATCATGTGTGCTGGAAGGCAAAAACCCACGAAGAAAGCACAAAACTGGAATCAATGCTCAGCAACCAGGAAACTATGTGCATATAGAGATAACGCTGCTTTCGTGCATCATGAAGTATTGAAATCATTGGTAACCGCTCTGCCTGTAATTACCTTTGGAAGGCTCTTGATGAACTCGTGCATGCCAACTAGCTTGGCCATCTCCACAACTTCGACCATTGTGGTGTCCTCCTGGCCAAACTGGATGTTCTCGGCGATGGAGTAGTTGAACAGAGTTGGCCGCTCGCTCACAAGGCTAACCTCGGAACGCAGCCACCGCACACTCAAGGACCTCAGGTTCACACCATCCAGAGTAATCTAGATGAAAGAGAGCAGACAAATTATAACCACTGTTACAAGCTAAAGAAGTTTCCGAAATTTATTTTCAGTGACCAAGTTTGGCACATTACGGCACAGAGCTTCTTTGCACAAGCAGTGATATTAGAATAAAAAGAAATTATACCGCAGTTCGTGCACCTCTGGAGAAATTTTTCAAATTCAACATTCCCACTATTATCACAAGCTGTAACTGTTCTCTTTCAAAAGACATCAAAGCAGCAAAAATTTGTGAACCGATGAAAGACACACAGTACTGCTCAAACCAGACAAATTTTTTTAATATAACGACTGGTATGCGTTACTGCTCAAGACATACAAGTCACATCATGAATATGCTGTCTAGAAATAATGTTGATTGTCATACACGTGTTTGAATCAAAAGTACCCCAATCTAACCTGAACTAAAGATGGTGAAATTGAAAGTACAGTAAAACCTCATTGATTCAACATCAGTTATTTCGAAATCCCACTTAATTCAAAGAGCTGTCGCAGTCCCGTATTTTGCAACATAAGTTTGAGTGGATAATTTGAAGCGGCAGCTGGCACCAACCAGCTCGGTTAACTAATTTCATGCTTATCAGATATAATTCCTTCAATATACGAGTTTCTTCTATACGAATCATTCTTCAGCATAACCGTAATCATTTCCATTATATCGCGTTCAATGAAGCCAAGCAGGTGATAGTTCTTGGTTGTGTTGCACTGGGCGTGGTGAAAACCTGCATGGCCATGGCCCCTTTTTTCCTGGCTTTTTTTTTACATTATTCTTACAATAAACCCAGTTAAGTGATCGCTTCAGTCGTGTAATAGACAGGCACACCTGTAGCCTGACAGTATTTCCTTCCGTCTTCTTTCTTTCCTTTGATTCATAGCAGCATGTAAAAAAAAGAGAGAGAAAGAAAAACTCATTTTCGGAACCCAAGTTCGAGTCTGAGCCCTAGGAAGAGGTTTGACTGACCTCCCCTAAGATGATTAGTACATGATTAAGGAGAATTGCCCAAGAGGAGGTCATTTCGCCCACGTTCTCAACCCAGGCCTCCCATCTAAATATGTTATAGCAGAGTGAATGGTGTTGTGGCATAATGGCTGTGGGCCAATCAACCTGGAGCAGTTAATCACCAGCAGAGCCAAAAATACAAGAATGTGAAGGTAACGATGCCTGATATCTTCAGAGTGACAAAGCTTTGTAATTTTCAGGCAGTGTACAAGAAACTTTACAGATTTCCATGAGCTTAAAAAAAATATGTATATAATAGTAGCTGTGTTTGAACATTAGATTCATGCACATGTTGACTTTTTTTACACAGCTATTTTACGGCTATGGTTTTTCGCACTCGGCCATTTAGCAGGTATCGTACTGGCAACTAAAAAGGGAGACCATAAAATATCAAACGAGCGCCCCCCTCCCTTCTTCGACAAATTTCAAATATGCCGCCTCTTCTAGCCTCCACCATTTATGTAACGAGGGCAAATGAAAACAGTAAACACATGCATGTTGAATAAAGCATTTCATTGGAAACACGAGTGTGCATTCTTTATTCTTGATTGATATGTGGGGTTTAACGTCCCAAAACCACCACATGATTATGAGAGATGCCGTAGTGGAGGGCTCCGGAAATTTTGACCACCTGGGGTTCTTTAACGTGCACTCAAACCTGAACACACGGGCCTACAACTTTTCCCCCTCAATCGAAAATGCAGCCGCCGCAGCCGAGATTCGATCCCGCAAACTGCGGGTCAGCGGCCGAGTACCTTAGCCATTAGACCACCGCGGTGGGGCTGCATTCTTTATTCTTAGCCGCTCTTCTGCCGCCATCTTAAACTCCGATCCATGAAAGAACAAGCGCCTCTCCTTTTTAATCTTATAAAATTAACCTTCACCGTAGGTGGGGCACACGCTCAGGATTTTATGGTAGCCTTTTTCAAGCATAGTTTTTTTTAAGCATAACTCACCTCGCCGTAACAGGGATCATAAAAACGCACAACCAGATTGAGTAGCGTGCTCTTCCCTGAGCCACTTGTCCCGCAGATGGCCACGACTTGACCCTCGTTGGCTTCCAGGCTCACATCTCGCAACACCTGGCCATTCACACAAATGAAGGAAACAGGAGGCTGAAGTGATACACAACCAAAAAGCCTATAGCACCAATTCTGCGAGACAATGTTTCGTGCTTAGGTTTTTACAGAGGCTTCAGTCCTTGAAAAATTGGAGGTGTAGTGTCATGTGAACCAATTATGAAGAGCAAGGGGCATGGCAGTGCAAAGTACACTGCCAGCTTTACTTTTGCATCAAACTGCTAATTTTTAGAAAACTGATCAAATGTATACGCTTCCACGTGCAGAAAAAAAAGGAGAAACGACAAGTGTGTATGTCTATGGATGGGGTAGGGACAAGAATGTTTTTTTTAATAGAAAAAAAAAGAGTGAAGAAAACACGAAGTATACATTTACTTTGATGACATTATTCTAAAAATTAATGTGCAAGCACAGAAAAAAACAAGTCAGAAAAAAAAAACAATAGAAAAACAAATATTTTTGCACAGCTCTTACCAAGTGATTTGGACATCTCGGATAAAAAAAACTGATGTTCTTAAAAGCGAGGTTGGCAGTGAACTGCTTCAGCTGCACACCGAGTTCAGAGTAGGAATCGATGTCAGGCCTCTGGAAGTGCAAAATACTCCTCACATTACTCATGTAGGTGCGATGTGCACAGAAAACACACTTATTACAAGAAGGAAGCATTACATTGTATGCCTGTAAGAAGTGTCAAACAATAAAAAAAGCAGGAAATATATCTTGACAAAGCCTTGGCAAGTTCTTAGCTCTATTTTAACAATTATTTATTCATTTATGCTACTTTTTAGAGTGAAGACCATAAGGACACATTAGTCACTGAGCAATTTTATCAGAAGATGTCTCTATAACGTACTTATTTCGCAATAGTCACCACAAAAGCAGAAATTATTGTGGAAGCAACAGTTCACTGTGCCAAACAGTAGTAACTTTATGACAGTTCGGTCCACATTAATAATTCTAGGAATCACCTTATTATGCACCAAGGACAAGCTTAAAAACTATTGGAATAAGTTGCTAGCTGATTGTGGTTCAATTTAAATATTAAATCTTTTGCTGAAAAGCTAGGTAACTTCTTTCTATGCGCTGTGTTATAACATAAACTAAGGCGAACTATGCCTGATTTTACAGCACCGAGTGGTGACACTTATCGCACGGCAAAAGTCACAATAAAACTGCAAAAACCTTACTCTGTCAATGACTTCAAATGCTCGCCCTGCTGCCATTTGTGCCACGGCAATGGAGTTCAGCTGCGGCAGAGCATTCCCCAACGAGAATGAACCCACCATGACAGCAAAGAACACCTGCGACAAACAACAATGTGATTTGCAAACCACAATATCTTTTCTGATTTTATCTGTAGTCAGCAATAAATGGAACAAGTTTTTGAGCCAATGCAAACTATGCACAAAAGTGATGCGATCTGTACTCACGATAAATGCCCTGCCAGGGTCCAGCCTAGCTGCTGCTACAAGAAGCGAGCTGTACCTATAAGAAAATTTTGGCACATGGAGCGTGATTCATCAACCAGTTTAGGCAATTTAGAAAGCAAGCATGTGCATTACAAAACATGCAATTTAATGTGCAATTATTGTCAGACTTATAAAACAAGGAAGCTCGAAGGACCTTAATGCTCTTGTTTTAACGGTTTTCTCAAGCAGGTTTTTGAAAATTATGTAAACAAGTAGGTTATAACTAGAGCAAATCATTCGCATCATACTTTAAGTGAGGCACCTAGTATAAGGGAGATTACCTACACCCAAGGAATGCTTTTTCTCCTCAACTTTTTTTGCAAAGTAATCAAGACTAAGCAGGATGATATTTCACTGGGGCTGTCTATATCGCTAAGACCACACTCCACAATAGTTTGGTTGACCTCTGCTGCCACCAGGTGTTGCCACAAACCCTGCTGCTCATGTGTTCTACTCTGACACAAAGATTAAGAAGCCAGTCACAATGGTTGTACAACGGCACCTTATGTCCCAAAACTGGGGTGTCTCAGAACTAGGTGTGGCAGTGCGACGTGACGCATAGCAATGCATGTATCCTAACAATAAATTGCATACTTCGTGCAGAGTGCTGACATTGATACGGTAATGATTTGAAGACGCTACTGGCTAAACAAATTTGCGGAAAATCATCACAACTGCTTAAGGGTCCTTTTAAAAACGTCAATGCTCGTTTTCTACGACACAGGTGCAGTGAGAATATCTTGACCTGCCTTGTGAGTTGAACAAGTACCCTCTAGGAGAATGAATTGTCTGATGGCAGCTATACACGCTGGAAAATGGCTTACAGTGGTGTGGCAGAATGAGATGCGTAGAAAGAAGGAACGTTTCCATAGGAATTATTTACAGAACAACAAACGGAGAGCAGATTTAGGTGGGTGAGTATTGTGTAATGCAGAGCTCAACAAAGCAGAAGTGAGGATAAGTGTATGCACAGGAAATGAATGCATAGGAGTGCTCAAGCGTGCGGTTTGAAATTTTAGCACCTTCGTTCTGCGCCAATCTGCACTGCATAAGTTGCGGAAAATGTAACCCATAGGCATGATGCAGTGGCTACATTTATGAGCACAAAGCCTACAGCCGAGTAACCGGATGCATGCATTGCTATAAGAATATGCCATTAACGCTTTTTGTTCTCTCACAGAGTCGCTTTTTGTTCACCACTACAATGGCAATGTCCCGCATACCAAGTTTGGTAAAAAGAGCTAAGAGTGAGCTTTAAAAAATAGAACAATGAGTACTAGAGTGGACACTGAGTTTGCCTTTATCTAATTTGTTCTAACCTTCAAATGCTTCTTGTGACAACATTACCATTTTAATATGGCTACTGGAACTAGGAAGCATAACGTCGACCTTGGTAATGCGTGCCCATGCTTTGCATTCCAGCAAGTTTTTTTTTTTTTTTTTTTTTTGCACAGAAAACATTTGGAACCCCCAATTGTAGGCTTTCCCTGAAAGCTTTTCGTATTCAATGAACTTCATTGTAGATTTCATATTTTAGTCACTAGTAAACCACTAAAAACCAATGTGAACAATGAGACGCCACTTTCATTTTATGGGCAAGGCTCTTACAACTACAAAAGCAAAGACTCGTAGTTCTATTGGACCTTTATATATTGCAGCAAACACTTGTATACTACATAATTTAACTACAAATGCACAGGCAAACATGAGCAAACTTTAGTTGTCCAATTCCGGCAACGCACCTGCAGTTTCCTTTCCCACTTACCAAAAGGCGAGTGCGTAGGCACCGTACAGAACCACAAACGTGAGGCCAAATCCGAATGCCATGGCAATGTACTTGCGCCTGGAAGCCGTCTTGCCTGCTTCCAGAGCAGTCATGTACCTGTCGAAATGTGGCAGCGTCAACAACAGTCTGCAGTTGAAACACCGTACTGAAGAAATATGTGATCATAAATAGTACACCACAGACCATGCGTGCTGAAAGTCAACGTAAAGACTTGCTTTCAGGTCTACGGATGCAGCGATCATTGCACAAGATGCTGAAGGGGATTGAAATGAAGGACTGCGAAGTCATAAATGCTTGACCTTAGTCGCTGCTAACACTTAAAAACCCGCAAAAATCCGTGAACCCTATAGTGAAGGGTAGGGCAGAAAGGATGCTTATTGCACATTAAAAAATAATAGTAAATTGACCTAAGCGCACATCTCTAGAAATATGCAAGCACTTCATGACAATTTACCTTTAAAGCAGACAAGCAGCAGCCAACTTGCAACAGCAAGACAAGCAAGACATTCTTTTTAGATAAATTTTTAGCGGCAATGCTATGGCTGACTTCATGCACTTAAGCAGGCCCCGCCGCGGTGGTCGAGTGGCTAAGGTACTCGGCTGCTGAACCGCAGGTTGCGGGATCCTGGCTGCGGCGGCTGCATTTCCGATGGAGGCGGAAATGTTGTAGGCTCGTGTGCCTAGATTTGGGTGCACATTAAAGAACCCAAGGTCGTCGAAATTTAGGGAGTCCTTTACTGCGACGTCTCTCATGATCACATGGTGGTTTTGGGAATCAATGCACTTAAAGGAGCACTGACATCAAATTTCAAGATCGAGGTGTGCCCATCATTCGATCGCTTGGTATGCATAGATGTTGTTGGCCAAATTTGAACAGCATTTGTCACGTGGAAGTTATTTTATTTCGATGTCAAACAGCGTAGAAAAGCCACGGAGAAAAAACGAAAAATAGACTGCCCTGCGACATCGACACTAGTGCTACGTGTTCGCTGTGATACATTCCACAAATACCATCCTGAGTGGCGATGCCCTAGTAGCGATGACATGTACGATTCAAGTGTTTTTATCGTGGCGCCGAAGTGCAGAAACGCACTTGCTTGTCGCGTCTGATCTTTGTCGCACCAGTTTGAATGATTTCGTGAAATTATCAAGATAAAAACCACCTTTAAAATAACGGCAAAAGAAAAGAGCATGATTAAACGTGCGCTTGTCGGTCAGCATGTCGGGGAATCGTTGTGAGCTGTAGATGAGCTGCAGTCGTCCAGTTTGAAGCATGGAAAAAGCGCAATGAAGATATATTTTCATATTACGTATATGTTATGCATCAACACGACCACAAGCTATCAAAATAGAGCAGCATATAGTCAGATATCATCGCTAACAAGTAAAACGGAGGTATCGATGAATTTTAGTTCATCTGTAGACTTTGCGTCCACGTAAAAGTGATAATACCGTGTTACCGCGAGAGGCTGGTAGGTGGGGCCATTTGGAGGCACAAAAAAGAACCTGGCAAGCAGAAAACTTATTATATTTCTCCGCTGATGCTTATTCGCGATAGCTATATTGCATCGACCACTCTGCGTATACCTGAATGCTTTGCACGCCAAAACACACCAATATAACTAACCGAGACAAACAACAGAACATGGCTGAAGCGTGCATCCTCGGGCACCTCTGCAGTGCTGCTTTAAACGGCATCCGTTTCGGAATCACTGTTCTGCAAAAGGTCGATCAAAGCAAAAATAATTCACGACGTTGTAAATCGCGGGATTCCAAGCTCCAGACTATCATATTGAACCAGAGTCGACACTTTGTACGGCAACACAGCAATGCAGGTGACAAGACATGACTGAATGTGTCTGCCTAGCAGACGAAATGTTTGCGGAGCAGCTGAGCCTGACGTCACTCCTTTCTGTGGAGAAGTGGTCAGCTGTGTCGTGATCAGCTGTGGCGAGGTAGTGCTACTGCTGGCGCTCCCAGCGCGAAAATTGGCGGGATTGCCGGCCGTTTTGAATAGTCCTAGATACCAGTGATATAAATCAATACAAGTGATAGTTATTCATCCCTCAGTTGCGTTTTAGGTCACGAATCGCTGCTACGAGGTCTATAGCTACTTGCTGACGCAAAAATATTGGCATGAGTAAATTTGATGTCAGTGCTCCTTTAAGCACAGCTCACATAGATAAGCCTGCTTGAAGTTGTTACCTCTTTTGCACCCTTTTTTTAACTGTCATGAAACTTAGAACGAAATGTCCAGCGACCGAGGGATGAAACTTCTTGATGAACAGAACATATACTTTGAAAATATTGATGCAGTGCTCGTAAGAATAAGTAACAAACCCGGATTTGCAGACATCATCAAAAATTAGAGTCAGCACGTAAATATGCACATTTTCACAAGCTCCACACTGCTTCATGCCAAGTAAAGACATAAATACCTAGGCCTAGCACCTTCTGTAGCATAGTAAAGTGAAACCGGCCATTGTATACAATTCTCAAGAAGGCAAGCTGAACACAATTTACCAGTCCATGTGGCAGCCAAGACCAAACTACTCAGAAAGAAAGACGCTTGCGAAACTTCACCTCTGTACGGAACTCATAAACAACAGTTGTTCCTTGTCCATCCCAAATTGTACACTTTGTTCCAATGTTCTGAGGTTGAAGACAAGGTAGTGGCTTCATTAGATTTGGCATACTGTTAAGATTAGCTTTGGCAAAGGGACTGGGACAGTTTTCGCGACAATTCCCAGGTTCTCCAAATCCACTGGAATTCGCTGACCTGACAATTTTTGGCTTTCTGAACTAGTAAGCTCCTCGACCGCTATATGTGGAAATGCTTCTTTCACATAAGTCAATGTGAAAAAAGCCCTTCCACATAGCATAGCATTCTTCAAAATCCACATACTGGTGATAGCAGCACTGAATTGAAACAGTGATTGCCTCCCAGAAATAAATGCAATAGAAGTGGCACAGTTGCACGAAAACGAATGCTAGAAACCAAGACCAGCGAGACGACGCAAAACTCACCGCTGCAGTTCACTATATTGAGAACAGAATGCAGCCACTGTCCGTATCTTGCTCAGAACTTCCAGAGCCACGGCTCCAGCTTGCGCATATTTTTCTTGCTCCTTGGCTGCTGATTGGGACACCATCTGAAGTTTAACAAGAAGGTATACCAATATCGATTTGCCTGTGCCACCAGTTTGTCAGTTGTATAATCTATGCATGCTGACGTGTGCATCTGAAAACACACGAATGGGTGTTTCAGGTGCATACCTGTAAAAATGAAGTGTCGGTCTTATGCCGTAAGAACTCTCCAGCTGGACTAGTTTCATAGTGATCGTAGAGATTAACAAGCGTAAAAATTGAAGCAAAGTTCATAAACATTTTTAAATGCGTAGACAAGGCCAATGCTTGTTGCCACTTTTTTCCATCTTCATCTAGCATTTATTGACTGTCTACATTATGTAAACCTGTCTGTTTAATACCTTACACCACATTCTTTTAAGGAGCTTGCTGGGTTACATGAACTCAACAGAGAACAAGAAAACCAACATAGACAGATGCCTTTTTTAAAGTTGCAAATATATATTGATGCATACAAACATTGTTTTTTTATTGCAACTGTATTGTCATCACACATTTATTACTTTGTTTTTAATGCGTTGCACTTATTCTTTCTCTGCAATGTGTTGCTGTCATTTGTAGAGGGGGCAGGACCTCTGTCAAGTGTGAAGACAAACAAATTGAATGAAAGTTCCCATACAAATCAAATACTAATGAATGTCAATTTCTCTGATGTTTCTCTCCTTGCCCCAATAAAATTGAATAAAGAAGTAATAATGATAGCGATGAGTCAGTCAGCAGCAAGGCTTTTCTCAGTGCTACACCAGAGTAGTGTCAACTCCTATTGGCAATGAGTTATTCGTCTTGCCCTAGCTTTTCTTAATGGCAAACACAAGAAATTATGCTGTCTTTGGCATGCACATTATGATGTAACTATCAAATTTTTTCTAGCTCTTTTCCTGCTTGCAGTAACTGCTGCTTTCTGGAACGGTTAACGCACTGCAAAACATGTATTGTGCCACTTGGTTCCCCAGAAGCTACACACAACAGAAGATAAACTGGCTATACTTCTCATACATTACAAAGCTTACTATCTGTATTTGTTTGCAGTTGAATCAACGACCGTGAGGGACTTACGTTGCCCAGGAATGCCGAGGCAAAGGCAAGCAGCGGTGTGACCGACATGATCACCAAGGTGAGCTCCCAGCTCTCGACAAAGCCCGTGGCAAAGCCAGATGCAAACGTAGACAGGTAGTGGATGAAGAGGCCCATCTTGTCACCCATTCCCTCGCGCAGACGTTCCATGTCACTGAATAAAGAAAAGCGGTGGTGAACAAAGTACTCTGTCGTTTAAAAGTGCCAATCAGTTCAGAGTGGAAGCTAGAGGAACACTTGATATAACTGATACTTTAAAAGACTGTTTGAGCATGCTTGTATAAGAAGTGGCAGGCCTAAGAGACTTTTAAAAGATAGGAAGACAGCAGAGTAGATCAGCAAACAGGGATAGTCAATATTCTAGCTGCAGTTAAGAGAAAGTATTGTATTTACTCGTAATGCGTCCTCGATTATAATGCGAGACAAGTGACTTCATTATGAAAAATAAAACGAAAATAAAATAATTGTGTTTACCATGGCACTTTTTAGACAACTTGGATTTTGGTTATTTGTTGCAACACGAGGGTCGACTTTAGGTAGCAAAAATCTGAGAGAAAAAAAAAGCTCGCGTTGCACTTCAGTATACTATACAGTAATGGACTGGGGCAGATCACATAATGTGGAGAGATAAGTGGTTTTTCGTTGAAGGGATGTGATGAGCTTCAAGAGAAGAATAGTGTGGCTGAGAATGGCACAGTGTTAGTTCAAGCAAGAGAATTAAGAAATATACAGGCATAAAACTGAAACAGCTCGCGCAGGACAACGTGGGCTGGAGATCACTGGGAGAGGTCGCTGTTTTGCAATGAACATAACACAGGCTGATGATGACAAATATGGGCAAGAAACATCTTTAGACATATTTTGTCACTTCTGCATTTGTTACACCTGTAAGGAGGCTTATTGGGCGAGTCCAACGGACAGGCGGAAGATTGGTGATAGCCACAGGATAAGGAAGATTGTGGTGCTCGAGCACCAATCTCGTGGTGCCTTTTCTCTGTGATGATGCTTGTTGTTCCCTGGTGTTGTCAGCATTCCTTCATTATACACCAAACGTATGACCATTCTAGGATGGTTCATGCAAGCGTAATAGTATTGCACACTGTAATGTTTACTTGTCCCATGCAAGTATGTACTGTCACTGAGAGAGAATATGTCTGAAAACATGTATGTTCTCACCAGAAACAGTGGACACATCACAAGCCCCCAATTTGCACTAAAGAATTGGACTAAAGCCTGAACTGAAGGTTGAACTGAAGCATTATGAAGGAGTGACACCCAGAGCTTCACACTAGCCCTCAGCTTTAAAGAAAATCAAGAGAAAGAAGTCCTGGATTAATTTAGGTTGGTACAGCTTTCTTTCAAAAGTCTACTTTCAATTATGTCATAATAAAAGATCATAATGCAACATAAATCTGAATTGCTTCATGAATTTCGAGCTTTACTCTCAGGTAGTATGTGGGTGGGACATCATGAATTTCATATTTTCACATTTAGCACATACCAGGTTTCAATATCTAGGAATTCTAGCCTCTGATAAATAAAAACACAATGCAGTCAACCTCTACAAGAAAAAAATTAAATTAGCCCTTGCAAACACTGCCAACATTTACGACACTATGGCAAGATAATGCACGAATCTTAAGGTGCCACCATGTATTTTTAATTTTTTTTACCTCTCTATGGCTCACTACGTCTTTTCTTGCATTAAGAGATGCTCGATAAGTGCTATAATTGACCAATATACCTGATATACCTTCTTCCGTTTCATGCCACATTGAGTAATAATGAAATACTAATTGAGCATTCTTATTATAAGTGAACTGTGCGATATATATGTGAAAAACTTAACAAAAGAAAGTTTTTCAAGCAAATAATATTTTTTGAAAGTGTGCTTTGTGAACCGGCACAGCTTTTGCACATCTAATAGGGGTGTTGCACAGTGTCCTTTCAATTATGATCAAGCCTAATCGCATTTGCATCTCAACTAGCTTATTAGTAAAAGATGTCAAAGGGAGCCAATCAATTCTAAGACATTAGTTTCAATCATCATCAATAGTGCCCTGGAGATGCATACATACACATTTAACCAAATTCAAATGTCGCAACACATACTCGTTCATTCTTGCGGCAACTTCACTGACACGATGCCTGTCAAACCAAGCTGCGTCTTGTCGGAGGAGCGAGTAGAAGAGTTCCTGCCGCAGCCTGTATAGCTGACGATCGCACGCTCGGGTCCAACACCACACCTGTTAATGATTGGCACACAGTATCTCGTAATAAATGTCGAAAGTGAAGCTGATATCTTTGCTAGAAGGCCCCCTCTAATTAAAAATCAACTAGAAGCCGAAGCAGTAAATGCAGCTTCAAAGAAAAAGAAATGCAGAAAACCAAGAATATATAGCAAGTACTGAATTAAAGTATAAAATCTATAAGCATTTAAAAATAAAATAAAATATTAGAATTGGCGACACACTTCTGTTGCCGAATTCAACTCTAGAAGTCCATAGTATTCCTCCTCAAAAGCAGATGCACAGGCAGCCTTTGTCAACGGGTGCGCAGTCCAGACTGACATCAGGAACTAGACGGTTGGTGACTATGCCTTTGAAGAACAGTGCCAAGTGCACAAGCGAGGCTATTCTTCGGTCGCAGAGGCGATCGGCTACTGTGCTCCAGTCATCTAGCTAGAGGCCCCTTTATACTTCTTAAGCTGTATACAACTATAGATAATGAATCAGCCAATCTAACTTTCTTTAATACTTGCCTTTTGCATCCTCGAAAGAAGCAAAGTAAACGAAACTGTACAAAGCAAAAATGTGTGACGTACATGTATAAACGAAGACATGAAGACGACAGCTGCAATTATGACGTAGGTGAGTGCAAACTTGTTCATGGTGATGTTGTATTCGAGGACGGTGACGGGGTCAAACATGGACATCCCCCCGCTGCGCCGTATTGCCTCCATGAAGGTCTGAGGAGGCGGACGCGTGGTGAAGTTGGTGTTGCTGCCATCATAGAAGCCCGCCAGCTGCTGGTGGATGAAGGCGTTTGTCATGTGACCAAACACGATAGCCAATAGTGGCCAGCCTGCACCATGGAGGATTGCGAAGACTGTGCCCACGAACAGCAGCACGATGTCTTGCGCTGTGGCATAGCGAAACTGACACACAAATATCAATCAACCATTAGACTGCGAATGTGCAATGCATTGCTGCAAAGTTATTAGTGAACTGCACAACAGAAAGGTGGACGAGTTCGAACTCAATCATAATAGTTGCATGCAAGGAAGAGCAAATACAGGAAAGAAATGTGCTAGTGCTCCATGCCATTGCTCCATTAGCAGTATGTATAACAATTGTGTTGTACACTGTCAATAGCATCGCAGGTTCTCATGTGAGGGTCTGTGATGTACTCGAACTATGAAGAAAGAGCACACAAATACACATAACCACTAGAGAACTACTTTCAGAACACACTTCCATATAGATGGCTTGCACTGATGCAACTGAAACCACCATGTTGGTGCACTGCATGGTAGGATGCAAGGATTGCGACATTGCATTAATGTTGTCATTGTATCACTTACAACTACTTTTATTATTTACTCGCAGAGGTCAATTGCAGTGTGGTGGCTTCGTGGAAGCAGGCTAAGCGCAATGCTATTATGATGTCTTTACATCGTCAAAGTCGCCATGTTGGTGAACTAGTATGTTATAAAGATGCATCCATGACATCACATGGCAAACTATGTATTGGCTAGAGTTATGACAACTGGCAATTTTTATAAATTGAACAGAGAGAGCGAGAGAAAAAGAAAAAAAACTTGGGTTTCAGCAGTGCTAAAGCTCAAACTAGATTTGATATCATTTATTCTAGATTTCAAATTTTTAATTTCTTTTACACTAAATAAGATCACTGAAGGGGAAATAGCAAGCTTGATAAGCAGTTTTGTTAGTACATCACTAGTTAAATAAAGAAATACAAGGGAGAGATCGGTTACGGGTACTTTAGCGCAACGCATATTTATTGTAACTAAGCCGTCTGTGAGAAAACAATGCGTAAGCAAGGCAAGTTTAATAATTACTAAGTTAATAACCATCACACCAGAAAGAGCGCCAACATATGTAGATGTCATATGCCACACATCTTACAAACAACAAACAATTAAAAGCACTTTATGAATAAAATCAGGGCATAGCCAGGATTTTACCTCGCTCAACCCCGTCCTTCCTCATATCATGTCAAACACCTTCCGTCACAGCTTTTTTTTTTCTGGGGGGGGGGGGGGGTCACGATTATCGTACGGGTAATTAGATCAGAGCTTGCTTTCCAGTGATGCGGAAAAGTGATAGAATGGCCGGATCGCGGATAACGCACGCATACAGCGTGAAGAGGGAAACGCCTAGAAGCGCATTTAACTGCGCGCAAACAAGACACTGCTTTCGGAACACTTCTAAAGCGACAGCAAACTACTCGTTGAAGTAGTTTACGCACGATTATTTTGAAGATTACCACGGCAACACTTTCACGAGATCAGAAAGATGGTCACAACCCGGTGACAGGTGCGTGCATTTACATTTACCTGTTTTACTACGCTAGCCATAACACCAACGACACGACGCACAGGAAAAACATTTCCTATTACTCACCAGCTTCCAGTACGAGACCTTCTTCGGTCGAGGCCACCTGTCGTTGTCTCTGCAAAGAGCGAAAACAGCTGCTTTGAAAACAGTTGCGAGCAGCGCGCCAAAAGTAAGCCACCATACCAGTTGCTCGGCGTGGCTCGACAGCGTTCTACGTCACCATAGCAACGTTACTCTTGACACAGGGCTTTCTTACGCCACCACTATGACAATACTAGAAAAACAAGAAATACAAATACTTGTTGTCAAAGAAAAAGCTTGTATCATTTTTCTTGCGAGTGGCGTTATCAAGCAGCAAGCGAGAGTGAGCCGAGTGATAACGACGCCGCGCCACCAGCCGCTTTGCGCGCGAAGTTTTTCGCGGGAAAGCGCTTGCTCGCCTCGTCCGTCTCGGCAGCCGATCCCCCGTGGCGTGTTTGTGATTATTTCGTTTGTTTACTCGTGAACTACGTGAGCGGCACAATGAAGACTGCCAGAGCGATCCCCGTGAAAATAGAGACGACGAACGGCAAGTTCTCAGTCGGACGACGACGAATGCGGGGCGAACAGAGGCGGCTCGGACGACTGCGACGACAAAGAGGAGTCGCCGCCGAACTCCAAGCTCAAAGGTGGGAAGCGCAAGCGGCATTCTAACGGTGACGCTCCCGGCAGCAGCCAGCCCACTCTGACCGCGCTGTTCAGTAAAATGGCAAAGCGTGTCAAAAGCGAGAACGGCGAACAAGCCGTGAGCAAGAAACCGCCCGCCGCCGAGGTGAGCTACACCCGTTGCTCTGATTGCCGCCAGGTGCTCGACGCCGCCGAGTTGCGGCTGTTCGAGGGTGACCCCGCGGACGCCGTCGACGAGTTCACAGCGCTAACCGATCCCGCGGCTGAGCGTGTTCAATGACGGCGATGCCGTCGACGACGGAGGCGACGACGTCATGGACACGCCGCAACACAAGCTCACTCAGTTCACCGTCTACGACCGCCACACGCATCTGTGCCCCATAGATGCCGGCCTGATCGAGCGAGACGTGGAGCTTTACTTCAGCGGATACGTCAAGCCCATTTACGACGAGGACCCTTCGCCCGAGAACGGTATCTGCTGCAAGGCGATGGGACCGATCGGTGCGTGGTGGACCTGCCGGTTTCGACGGTGGCGAGAAAGCCGTGATCGGATTCACGACTCCGTACGCCGACTACGTGCTCATGGCGCCCAGCGAGCAGTACGCTCCTTTCATCGACGCCATCAAGGAGAAGATCTACATGAGTAAGCTAGTGATCGAGACGCTCGTGAAGGAGCCGAACACGACGTACGAGGACCTGCTCAACAAACTCGAGCTGACGCCCCCGCCTCAGGGTATCGCCAAGTTCACCGAAGATGCCCTGCCTTCGAAACGCCCAGTTCGTAGTCGACCAGGTGCAAAGTTTCGACGTCAGTGGAGACGATGACGAGGCGCACCTGATCGCGACCCCATGCCTGCGGAGCGTGGTTCACCTGGCTGGAGTGACGTTGGGCCAGCGCCGAGCGATGCGCCGTGGTCGACGCGAAGTGTTGCCCAAAAAGCCCGTCGGCACGCTGGCGACGACGACTCCGTTGGTGCGAGACGTCTTCGAAGTTCTCTTCCACGGCCAGATCGACGACAAGGCTTCCAACACCGCCCGGCGCAAGCGGTGTGGAGTCTGCGAAGCCTGCCAGTCGGCCGACTGCGGCAAGTGTAAGGCCTGCAAGGACATGGTAAAGTTTGGCGGCACTGGCCGTCAGAAACAGTGTTGCGTGGAGAGGCGTTGCCTCAACAAGGTCTTCCAGGAGGCGGAAGAAGACGACGGCGACACGGAAGAGATGGAGGCCGAGCTCGACCGCAAGGCCGCGCAGGCAGAGGCTCCTTCCTCGACGCGCAAGACGGTGCGGCGCGGAGCCAGCGACGTCAGATGGGCCGACGATAAGCCAGTCGCAAAGCTCAACAAGAAGTTTTACTACTCGCGCGCCTTGGTCAACGACCATGAACTGCGCTGGGGTGACTTCGTGCTCGTGACTCCCACGGATCCCGGTACGCCTTTGGACGTGGCCCGAGTCGTGTACATGTACGAAACCCCTTCGGGTGAGAAGATGTTTCACGCGCATTGGTTCTGGCGGGGTTCGGACACTGTTCTGGGTGAGTCATCTGACCCTCGCGAGCTGTTTCTCGTCAATGAATGCGACAATCAGAGCCTGAGTGCCGTGAGGGACCTCTGTACTGTAGTGCACAAACCGGCAGCCTGAGGACTGGTTCTCACGTGGCGGCGTGCACTGTTTGGAGGACGAGTGCGTGCTGCAGGGTGAAGACGACGGCAGGTCGTTCTTCTATCAGAAAGCCTACGAAGCGGAGCATGCACGGTTCATCGACCCGCCCGAACTGCCTTGTCCGGAGGAGTGTGACGTGACGCAAGCGTGTACGTCATGTCGCCATGCGGAAGCGCAGGAAAAACTGAAGACCCCCGTTCCCGGAGACATCGTTGAGGAAGAGAACGGCAGGATCTGTTATTCGAGCATCTCGTTCCAGGGCAAGTCCTTCTGCATCGGCGAGTGTGTCTTCTTGGAGCCGGACGCTTTCGAATTCGACTACCAGCCGGCTAAAAGCAAGAACAAGGTCAGCATCAAAAAGGAAGATGTAGACGAGGAGGTGTACCCGGAGTACTACCGCAAACGTTCAGAATACATTAAGGGATCAAACGCCGACGTGCCCGAACCGTTCAAAATTGGCAAGATCTTGTCGATTTACAAAAAATCTAGCAGTGGCAAGTGCCAGCCCGAAATGTTCAGACTTAGAGTCAAGAAGTTTTACCGCTCTGAGAACACGCATCAGCCAAAACTGGATGCCGACCTGTGCCTCTTGTACTACTCTGAAGAAGAAGCCGTCGTCGAGCTGAACCAGGTGTGCGGCAAGTGTTACGTCGTGTATGGCGAGAACTTGGCCGAGGAAGTCGAAGACTATCTTCGCCGAGGCCCCCACAGGTTCTACTTCACCGAAGCGTACGAAAGCAAGTCCGAGAGCTTCGTCGAGCCTTCGTCCAAGGCGCGCATGATGGGTTGTCTTGGCAAAGGAAAAGGTAAGAAAGGCAAGAGCTCGACCAAAACCATTGCCATCGAGCCACCGGAAGAGTTCTACGTTCCACAGCGCAAGCTGCGCAGCCTCGACGTTTTCGCGGGCTGCGGAGGCCTGTCTGAAGGGCTTTCACCAGGCCGGCGTTAGTGAGACCTGCTGGGCCATCGAGCGAGAGGAGCCCGCGGCCACAGCCTTCCGTCTCAACTTTCCCGACGCTACTATCTTCACGGATGACTGCAATCGCCTGCTGCGGCTCGTCATAGACGGCGAGACCGTCAACGAGCGGGGACAGTTGCTACCGCAGAAGGGAGACGTCGAGCTGCTCTGCGGAGGACCTCCGTGCCAGGGTTTCAGCGGCATGAACCGCTTCAACTCGAGGCAGTACTCCCAGTTCAAGAACTCGCTAATCGCCTCGTATCTCAGCTACTGCGAGTACTACCGGCCTCGCTTCTTCCTGCTCGAGAATGTGCGCAACTTCGTCTCCTTCAAGCGCAGCATGGTCCTCAAGCTCACCCTGCGCTGCCTCATCAGTATGGGCTACCAGTGCACCTTCGGCGTGTTGCAGGCCGGCAACTATGGAGTGCCACAGACGCGGAGGAGAGCAATCATCCTAGCAGCTGCCCCGGGAGAGAAGGCTTCCGCTCTATCCTGAACCGCAGCACGTGTTCGCTCCACGGGCCTGCCAGCTGACCGTCATGGTGGATGAGCGCAAGTATCTGTCCAACTGCAAGTGGTCCTCGTCCGCTCCGCTTAGAACCATCACCGTCCGCGACGCCATGTCCGACTTGCCGGAGATCCGTAATGGTGCCAAGATGAACGAAATTCCTTACGGCGCCCAGGCCTTGACCCCGTTTCAGAAGGTGCTACGTGCCGGAGGCGCAGTGCTGCGTGATCACGTCTGCAAGGAGATGGCACCCTTGGTTGAGGCCCGGATGCAGCACGTTCCCCTGGGTCCGGGCTCCGACTGGCGCGACCTGCCAAACATCGTGGTGCGGCTCTCGGACGGCGTGACGTACACGAAGAAGCTTCGCTACACGCACCATGACCCCAAGAACGGCAAGTCATCGACAGGCGCCCTGCGAGGCGTCTGTCCATGCGCATCAGACAAGCCTTGCGATCCTTTGTGCCGCCAGGACAATACCCTTGATCCCATGGTGCCTGCCTCACACTGGCAATAGGCACAACCACTGGGCAGGGCTATACGGTCGACTCGAGTGGGATGGCTTCTTCAGCACGACGGTGACCAATCCAGAGCCGATGGGCAAGCAGGGAAGAGTCCTGCACCCCGAGCAGCACCGAGTAGTGAGCGTCAGGGAGTGCGCGAGGTCGCAGGGTTTCCCGGATACTTACCGCTTCTTCGGCACCATTCTGGACAGGCACCGCCAAGTGGGCAATGCCGTGCCGCCGCCTATGGCTCGAGCCATCGGTCGCGAGATCCTCAAATGCCTTGCCGCTGAAGGGCAGGACAATTGCAACTGACTCAGTAGCGCTGGAATGTGGCAGTCAAATGTGCCTTTGGGGTGAATGTACCCTCCCTAATGACTGAAAAGCTGTGTTCTCCTGGTCTTTACCAGTTTTTATGTTAATTACGGTTTAGCCGATGCTTGTTTTTTAATGTTGTGTCTGCTTTTTAGTCCACGATGAGCTTTTAATCTCTTCCAAACCATTGACAGGTGCGTTTAGCATCGTATTAGCTTACTTTATTACCTAAGGAAAGCAGTTACTATTGTGCTGTATATAACGCTTTCATATAATTTTTTTTTACGTGCCCTAAAAGAAGGAAGACCATGATAATTATGTGTAAACGTGGACCATGTTCCATGCCTGCATGCAAGTTTGTGCGCGACATTCCTGATGTTTGTTCTGTGCCTGCTTCTTCATTTAGAGTAATGCCGCTGATAAGTTTCTGATAACCTTTATATAATTGTGACGCGCTTGTTAAAGATGATGGGACCGCTGTGCAGTCAAAGCTCGTGTTTACGAGTATTAGTGCGAAAATCTTTGATTACGTGTATAAATGTTTTTACCATTAAATGACCTGTGTGATCTGCAACTCTAAATGTGTTCGAGTCTTGTTTTATTATCCACTTCGGGGGTTCAACGGTTGTTGTGGTGTCCAGCGGGCAATGATGATGCAGGTCCGAGTCCCGTCCGAAAGTGGCGTTTTTATCGAATGATGATCTCGACTGGTTTTTATCAATGTCTCAAATCGACGTGTCTTGTCGGGTGTCCAGCCTCAAGGCGTTAAAGTTGCGCTTCGTCAAACTTGGCTTCAACTGTTTGGATGACTATGCTGTTATTTTCCTTTTTAGTTAACTGTTAATTAGGACATGCCAACGCTTTTGTATAGCCCCGACTACTCGTTTTCGTAGATCATATACGTGAAAAGCACAACAACAAGAACGAAATTTGTCTAAAAGATCAGCTAGGGATAGTTCCTGACGTGATGTAATATATAAAAGTGAAGCTTGTATGCTGCCAGTAATTAGTGCTTCGTCGTAAAAACACTATCATCATTTGAACTGGCACACGCTAGTTTGATTCTCTTTACAATGAACCTTAAGCTAACGCACGATGTAAGAATAATACTTAGGTGAAAGGACGGCGCACTCTGACGCGATGAACGAACAGCGTTCTAGTAACTCGGCGCGACGAGAGAGAGCGTGCGAGATTGTGGACCGACTAGAGTTACTGTGTATGCTACCTAAAGGTAGCATATACAGTAACTCTATGGACCGACCTTTGCCGCCTGTTTGCCGCGCGCGTGTTTTAGCTGCCGACTCTTTCGCGGAGAAGTGCGTTAATATTTGCTTTGTTTGTGTGTATTATGGTCAGCCCAAAGCTTTATGCCGTTGCAAGATGGTGAAGTGCTTTGTGCCTCTCTGCAACAGTGGCTACAAGTCTTGTGACACGAAGTATTCACTTTTCAAATCTCCGAATAATGAAGCGGAACTTAAAGCGTAGAGGCGGGTGATACCACGCAAAGACAGAGTGCTCCAGAAGAATGACTGTGTGTGTGAGCGACATTTTGCACCACATTTCATTCTCAGGATTTGGAGTGCTGAAGTTGACGGCCGGGTGCTCATGTCGGGTACGAGAAGGGTGGGTCTCGCGAAAGGTGCGGTGCCAACTATTGTCGAAGGGGCGCCAAAATACTTGTCGAAGAAAGTAAAGAGCCTTCGGAAGCCGGTACTGTGACAGTCTCGTGCTGTTGCTCTTCGCTGTACTGTTTCGAAGTCTAGGAGCTCCTGAGAAGGTGAATCAGTGCGTTCTGGCGGTGCTGACGGAGCACCAACGACTGATCGTACTGCAACAAGCGTTGTCAGCGGTTGCGGCTGTGAAGTGGAGAATGCGGTCGCAGACCCAAGCGAGACCCCGTTCGAGATTTTATTCAACTCTGCTCCTAGCATGTGCCTCCCTGTACCATCGTGGGCAGCTCACTGAATCGACAACGAGGAAATCGAGGACGTTCTATTCAATGGCGCTTGCATTCGACACAGTGGTGCGTCCAGTGCTGTGTTTACGAAGAAGACACTGCACGTAAAACGCGACATGTCTGTTCAAGCATATGTTCTGGGTAAGCCTGTTGAATGCAGCACCGTTGGGATCGATTCATTTGCCAGTTCAGTTTCCGAAGTATATGAAATGTTAACTGCTGTTGATAACGTGAGTGTTGTGGAGGGCCTAGTTTGGACAGTTTTCCTACCGTGCTTCCGAAGTGTGCCTTTGTTGATTGCCAAGGAAAATGGAGGCACAATAAGTGCCCGTAAGTGACAACTGGAGGTGGTATATGCAGGCCATGCAGTGGTCTCTCAGACACTCTTAGGATACATGCTGAGCGACGAGCTATGAGGATTAAACAGAAGCGCCCTTGGAAACGCATACGATTGCCACCACTCCGTAGATTTACATTGCCTGTGCAGCATGAAAGACTCGATGCCTTGCGCTTTTCCAGAGCTGTGCTGCAACGCTCGCGAGCGAGGCTTTTGAAGCGCAACAAGCTTTTGACGAAACAGCTTGAGGAGAGAAAGAAGGAAATTATGAAAATACAAGATCAAGATGTCGCAGAGAAGTTGCAAGCTCTTGATATGCCACCAGATCAGCTACTTCTTCTAAAGGAATGTATTTCAGCTGCCAAGTGCAAGGCAAAAACAAACAGAAGATACACAGACGATTGGCTTCTACTGTGCCTTCTTCTAAATATACGAAGCCCTGCTACATATTCCTTCTTGCGAGGCAATAACATATTACCCCTTCCTGTTGTATCCACAATTAGGAAGTACATTAGTATGGTTGGCCTCAAATTTGGATTTGATGAGGATTTTTTCAAAGCTTATAAGGTGAAAGTCTTAAAGAAAACGTCTTTCTAAAAGAGGGGAATGGTCATTTTCGACGAGATACATGTCAGAAAAGAGATGACTGTCTGCTCTCAAACGATGACCAATGCTGGCCTTGTTGATAACGGAGAGCAGGGTGTTCAAAGCAATGAGCTTGCTGATCATGGTCTCGTATTTGCCTTTTCTCCTTTTGATGAGAGCTACTTGCAGCCAGTAGCTGTTTTTGCTTCGAAAGGACCAACAAAAAGCACTCTTCCTGCACAGCTACTCCTCCAGTGCATTGTGCACTTAGAGCATGCTGGCATTTTTGTTGATGGAATAGTGTGCAACGGTGCTTCAACCAACCGGGCTATGTGGAAACAGCTCGGGATTAGTGGTGCATTGGGGAATGTTGGTAATGCATTTGAGCATCCACTTGGCGTGTCTAGAAAAGTGTATGTCCTGTCAGATGTACCTCATCTGTTTAAGTGCATTCGGAATCGCCTTTACGAAAAAAAAACTTTGAAAAGACAAGGCCGATTTATAAAGTGGTCGTGCTACAACGCCTTGTATGTAGCAGACACGAAACATGCTGCCGACCTCAGAGTATGCCCAAAGTTGACGTACAACCATGTTAACCCGTCAAAAATGTTGAAAAGCTTGCCACCCAACTTTTCAGCAATTCTGTCGCAAAAGAAATACAGTTTTATGCACGCATAGGTGAAACTCGGCTTTGTAATGCAGAGGCAATGCTCGAGTTTACCCTTTTTTTTAGTGACCTATTTGATGCCCTTAACCGCCGCTTCCCACGAGAAGGCCTCACTCTTGGATGCAAGGACTTCTTAGTCATTGAGAGTGCCTCCAAGTGGCTCGACGAGTGGGAACAAGAAGTGGTTAATGGGGACATTCTGAAGGACATTTTTCTGACCCCGTCAACTGCAGAGGGACTGCGAGTTACATTGAAATCCGTTCTAGAGCTGTCCCGTTACCTGTTGACAGAATGCAATTTCAAGTATGTCCTCACCTCTAAAATGAACCAAGACCTTTTAGAATGCTTTTTTGGTATAATAAGGCAGGCAGGAGGCCAGAACGAGCATTCTACATTTCCAACTTTCTTGCAGCTCTATCAGATGCTGTCTCTGTATTCTTTGCTGAGGCCCCCACGGTTTGTTAACTGTACAGCCGCTGAAAGCAGCCTGTCTGCTTTTGTCACTTTGACCGACATTAGAGGCATATACAAGAGTTCAGCTGCAGAACGGCCAAAAAAGTTGGAAGAGCTGAGAAATAAGCTGGGTGGCCTGATCAGCCAAGGAAACTGGAAATGTGAAGATGTGTTCGATCACGATTATTCTGATGCAGCTGTGGTCGACGACATTATCTATTATGTCACTGGATTTGTGACGAGGAAGCTGGCCAATAAGACATCGTGTGTCGTTTGTAAGGAGAGAGAGAGAGAAAGGAAAGGCCGGTAGGTTAACCAGATATTGGCATCTGGTTTGCTACCCAGTGCTGGGGGCGGGGAAATAGGGGCAAGAAAGAGGGGGTAGATAGAGAAAAAAAACAAAAAAAACGCGCACTCACATGAAAACGAAAACACACACAGGATGGGCGTCCTAGCTACAACCGTTCAGTAAGGCCGGTCGATCGCAAAAAGTTTAGTAGCGCTTTCAGGGCTTTTTTCTGTGAAGTTGCATCTTGTCGATATTGTAGAATTCCTTGCTCCGACAGAGGTTGATTATCTAATTTGCTGAGTTCCTTGCGAAGGCATAGTCGTTGTTTACTATACTCTATAGGCAGTTTGTAAGGAAGCACTCAAAGGACACAGAGGCTTCTCAAAGGCAACTGAAGCGGAACTTGTGAACTGCAAGACCAGAGGAAGACTGACGCATCTCTATGCACACCTTTTCCAGCTTTTTAGAAACATTGAGGAAAAGTTTGCAAAATATGCAGACCAGAGGGATGTGTATGATAAGACGACAGATGCTGTACTGGCACATTTTGAGTTTACTTTCCAACTGCACTTTCCACAATGAAGATATATTGGCCAAGTTGCTTCATTACTACGTTTGTTTGCGCATGCGCCAATACTGCAAGCAGTTAAGGGCCAAGAACGAGAAGAAAAGCCAGTATTTGCGAAAACTATCAAAGCTTGTTTGATTTCGTACCTCTGCAAGTAATTGGGAACAACTTTAGCATTGTATTTTTCTTGTATTTACATTGTACTTCTCTGGAAACTTGTGTGAACGACTGCTTTGTAATTCATTCAGTCAAGTGAATCGCTTTCTATTAAATGTTTTGA